GGCCCCTTTCCAACCCATGGCGAGTTAGCTCAGGGACTGAACTTGACAATGAGACCAAGCAGGACAGCAAGCCCCCTGTGTTTTTTCTCAGCGCAGTGACCAGAAAGCTGGCTATGGCCAGCTTTCTGTGCGAATATTCTGGTGCATTTTCAGGTAGGTTTTCAAAAATTCGGCTAGATATATATATATATATATATATATATATATATATATTTTTTTTTTTTTTTTTGAACAGTTTTTATTGAATTAAATTAAAGACAAGTTTACAATTTTATTTAAGAATAAACATTAATTAAATTAATTAAATTAAATTAAATTAATTTTTCCTAAATATCACATCTGACTTATTAATTGTCTCAACATGAACATCATTATTTCTTAGCCAGGACAGGACGTGTTTCCAAAAGTCAGAAGATATCCTGCAGGAGAAGCGTAAATGCTCGACGGATTCCGCTGCTTCTTGACAGAAAGTGCAGTTTGGCGATTCCACTTCACCAATTAAATTAAGTTTCACGTTTGTAAAGATTATACAATTTAAAATTTTTATATTGAAATTCCTTGATTTTTGTATTAAAGTGCACTGAAAGGTCAAAGTGTAAACCTTTTCCCAATCAATATCTATATTTGAGTACTTGTTTGATAATTTCAGTTTTGCGGTGGGCGCAATTTGCTTTTGCTGCAGAAAGATTTGATAGAACTGTTTAGGAGAGATATCAAAGATTGGTACTACATTACCGCTTGCCATCTTTTAACTATTAAAATAGTTGGGGTGATTGGCATGGGGTTGGCTAATGTTACGTTTGTAGATGCCTTAATAAGTGAGCGCCAGCCTACAGGAATCGAACTGATAATATTAATACTCATAAGAAAAATTCTTTGTTCGGGATTTGTAAGTGAAGAGAAATCGCACGAGAAGGAGTTGTTCGCAGAAATTAAATCCCTCATCTTCACGAAGCCTAAGTTTACTATATTTCTCCTTTACATCGATTATTTTGTCATAACAAAGAAATTTGTTATTTCAGATAATTTCGAATTTGTTAATGATTTGTTCGTAACAACTTGGAGTTTTTCCCATTTACCTCTGACCACGCATCAAAGCATTCCTTATAATATGCTGGTAGGTTGATTTTCAATTTAGAAGTTTGAAAGTTGCAGTGCAATGCAAAACGTCCTCCGACTGGTAACAGAAGTTTGTCTAGGATTGTTTTCCAAGGACTTGAGTAGTCTTCCAATAATTTCTTTAAACATGTTACTCGTTTAGCGCAAATCATAGATTGAATGTCCAATATTTTTAGTCCACCCATTTCTATATCAGATATCAATTCAAGACGCTTCACTTTGTCTTTCCCATTCCAAATAAAGTTATAAAGAACTGAGTTTGCCTCTTTATTTAAAAATTAGGGTAAACACATAACAGCAGAAGCTGATAAACCGGTGGCCCTCCAACAAAACTAACTAACCCGAAAAATTACAGATATATATTTACACTAGTGCTTAAAGCCAGCGACCTTCAACTAAATTAACTAACTTAACAATACAGATATATTTTTACAAGACTTCAAAGTTATCAATATCAAAATAATAATCTCTAAAATAAATTACCAAAGCATTCTTAAAAGATGAAACACGTCTTTTTTTTTTTCTTTTTAATATCATCAGGCAGAGTGTTCCACAACTTTATGCTTATGACGCTAAAAGGCCTTCCCGCTTCGGTGATGATGTGTCGAAACTTTGGGCATACGCCTGAAGCATACGAAGTTATATTGACCGTGTCTCGTCTCTTTACCGTGCACTGATTTGTTCGTAATTAAGAGATCATTGATATAGATAGTTGATTCGCCTTGCAATGCCTTATAAAGAAGAACACACATATTTATCTCAACGTCTTCATAATGTAAATCTAAAGCTAAATTGATAACCGTATCAACCTCCCATGCGGGATACATATGATAGAGGAGTATGATCAGCGGTCTTAGTTATAATAGTGGCTGGTGTTAATAGTCCTTGAAATGTTTAAATTAGATAGGCCAGTTTTAAATGACTGGGTTAAGGTTGCACAGCGCGAATTAATGGTAATGATTTCCATTCATGATCAGGGATTTGTGCGTGGGATAAACGAAGATCGGTAAAAGTTGGTATTTGATTGTGGTCGAAGATATGATAAATGAGAAGTATGACGTAATTGGCGACAACTCATCTCCAGAAATCTAGCACGCCAAACTTCGCGCGACTTACATTCAGATTGTTTCGCAATAGTTTTTACAGTGACACAGGTTGAAAAAAGGTGTTTCCGTTTCCGTTTTTGTAACGGTTACCTCACGGAAACTTGAATATCCGCAGACGGACTTGTAACTAACCGTTGCGGGAAACACGTGTATCCGTCACGTTTCAGTTTCTGCGGACACGCTTAAACGCATCCCTTATGCTCGCGTTTCCGTCAGGTTTACTCTTGCGGAAACGCTAACTGCCGCCATGTTTCCGCAGCTCGTAAATTCAGAGGATACTCAATTATCCGTTGAGTTCCCGGAACAATGAATGCGGAAACTCATTTTGATCGCTTTACTTCCTGCAGCCTTCATGTTTCCCCAGATTCCACTTTCGGTGGATTATTCACTGGATTTCCTAAATGTGTTAACTTTACTTAACCATCCAGTTTCGAATCATATGTTCATTCTATCCGGTATATAAAAAAGTGGACGTTTGTGAGACAACCCTGGACCGTTTCTTGCATCCACAATGACCCATTTTCGCTGATACACACAAATCAAGAAGAGTCATATTTAGGTGCATTTTTGGTATTAAAGTTTTTATTAAAATAATTCTCTCTCCATTTTCATATCATATGTACATATGTATATTAAATATTTTCACAATAAAAAAGAGACTCCTTACAATGTATTTCTATTTTCTATATCCAAAACTCTAACTTTTCCATTTCAATAGGCCACTTCCGAGTTCCCTCAAAACCCTCACTTTCAAAATGAGGCTAGGTGCGCAACCTTTCTTGTGAAAATGAGTTTTATTTGCATGAGAATGAAAAGTGATTTAAATATCAAGAGCTGAGCACCTACCCTCGTTTTGAAACAGAGGCCCGGGGGAACTCGGAAATGGCCTTTTAAATAATCCTTTTAGAATTGACAAAATTCAAACTTTTTTCCTTGAAATGATTAAATTAACATAATAATTATACAGCCTAACCTCTTCTTATGGACACTTCTATAAGACAGATAGTTTGTTTGGTCCCAGAAATGCCAAAAATCATACATTCCCTACCTCTATAATACGGACACCTCTGTAAAGCGGACACTTGGTTCGGTCCCTTTGGTGTCCGTATTAAAGAGGTTTGACTGTGTAATAATTAAGGTGGCTTGACTGGATTTTTTGGGGTTGATACCTCCCAAGTTTGAGCATTAACTACGTCGGCATGAGTAAAGGTATGGAAAAAAGGTTACCACAACTGTGTTATATAAAGATGAAAATTTCTTATGATCTGGGTTTTATTGCAATCGGAGTCGCCATGGCAACGTAATGACGCCATTACGTTTTTCATTTATTGTTGTGTTTCTCTGTACCAGGAGTTTTTTGAAGAAATCGCTTAAGGGAGTATGTACCTGCCATAATTGCCTCCATTATGGCAAAGTTTAAAGAAATTCTATGAGAGCGTTTTCGAAATATTTTGAAATACAGTTTTAAGAATCATAAAAACAGTGAAATAGCATGCTATCCACACAATTAGCTAATATTTTAAGAAAATGATAAGCTTTGGGAACGCGGCTTCATCTCATAGTGGATTGATTCCATTGAAAACTGCATACAAAAAAGGAGGGGAATTGCTCTGGGCGATCGCGAGTAAGAAGGATTTTATTAACTTGCATTCAGATGCTTTTGATACAGTTTTTGGAGGTAATTTGGTCCATGCCTAAAAATTTCGCATTTTTCAAAAACCGCTCGATAAATTTTTTTATAAATTCCACAATTCCGAGATCAAAAAACAGGGAAGGCTTTTAAATAGAGCCTCAAATATGGCCAATTTCCCCCCCAGATTTTGTGTTTACAAGCGAGCGTCCTCATTATTCACTGGCATTGTTAGCGAATTGAGCGGCTAGCATGCTATTTCACTGCTTTGATGATTCTTAAAACTGCATTTCGAAATATCTCGAAAACGCTCTCATAGAATTTCTTTAAACTTTGCCATAATGGAGGCAATTATGGCAGGTACATACTCCCTTAAGCGATTTCTTCAAAAAACTCCTGGTACAGAGAAACACAACAATAAATGAAAAACGTAATGGCGTCACTACGTTGCCATGTCGACTCCGATTGCAATAAAACCCAGATCATAAGAAATTTTCATCTTCATGTAATACAGTTGTGGTAACCTTTTTTCCATATCTTTACTCATGCCGACGTAGTTAAGGCTCAAACTTGGGTATCCCCCTAAAAAAATCCAGTCGAGCCACCTTAAGTAACTAACATTATTATAAGTAACGTGCATTTCCATTCCAAAAATAACTCCAAGAAGTAGTTCACAGCAAAACTATTACATAATTTAATACGAACAATATTACAAATAAAAGTCTTACTTAGTTACATGTAAGACTGTATACAATCTCATTAGGAAATCTAAACTGCTGGCTTAATTCTTATACCATATCATACCATAGCAAGTACAAGTACTTGGTGGATCATCCCCCAAAATTATTGTTAAAGCCTATACAAACTGCTGAGAGGCCATCATTGGGGAGTATCAGACTGATGCTACGAAGACGATAGTGATGCAAACAAAACTAGCCATAGGCTTTATATACAAATGTGTAAGCCAACATCTCTACACATGTATCTCACTTTTTGTCCCCACTGTGCTGTAACTGCATGGCTGCAACTTGGACCTGGCTGTGGCATACAAAGTAGTCTACGAGAATTTGCCTACATTTGAGTTTGAATAATAATGACGAACTGTGCACTTTTAACAAGTGACTCACTTTCACAATGCATCTATCTTACATTCCCTGTTTTATAGTTTTAGGATAATCCATTGACTGTCCTGGAATTTCAGCAATTTTAATGAACACAGTCGAGTAAAGATTGTCTTTAAGAATAAAACTCTTATCACCTTTCCAATAAGATTGTGCAATTTAGTTAAAGCTGATCACCACAGGGTCATCCTGACTAAAGAAGGCACAATAATACATTAGGGACTTTAAGCAAATTGCTACAGTGACCTCTACTATGATGGTCGTGGATCACAGTCCTGAAGAGAGTATGTCACTGTTGCCCGTCAAATTTCAACTTTATGCAAGTGGCACCCAAACGTCACTACAGGGCTTCTCGCTCATTTGGTTTTGTTGTTAGTAAAACGCAGGGAAGACTGAATTACTGCCCAGTGAACTAGAAGTGTTAAATACTTTCTTGATTAAGAGTAAAACAATATGATAGGTTTTAAACCAGTGAAAAATAGGGGAAAAGTAGAATTTTATACTCATGTAGAATCGACTATGCCATCACATTTTGTGCTTCGGCTAAAGGTCATTTTCTGGACATCATGCACACGGCGTCCTTTTTGGACTTTATACTCCCAGTTGCCATAGTAGTGATCACTGTAGCCATTTCACTAATTTGGTATTATTGGCATCTTGCCCATGAGGGGCAGTTATTTGGTACTGGTCTGCCTCTTTGACATGCAAGCTTCACAAAAGGCGTCAAGAACAGCATTGATGTTTCTTAACTTTGACCTCTCTGAGCATAGTGGCCTGATGTACCTGGGTGGTGGATCACTGCCCCCCTCTTCATTGTCTTCACTCTCCTGGATAGCCTTGTGTAGGTCTAATAAAGCCTTTGTTTTGGCTTTGTCATCCGGAGAAAGGTGTGCCTTGTCCAACACCTCTGTGCGATTCGTTAATTTCTGAACACCAAAATAACATATTTAGTCACAGTGGCATGACTACTGTGATAAACATTTAATTAACATTTACTTTGTTCTTCAGCAACAGTTTAGTCTGGCAAAATAGTCACCCTGACTATTTTGAATCTTTAGATTTGGTTCTTGCTCTCTACTCTGAGCAATTTACACTACAATGAAACCTTGCATATAAATGAGAAGGACACTGTTAACAATAAAAATGTCAAAGGGGGGTAGGGTGTGGCACTCGTGCATTCTATAACAATCATAAATTATGTATGCATAAGACAAACATGCAAAACATGTGTTGTTTCCTTTAAAAATGAAAGACGACCCTTGTGCCCTTAACCTGAAAGATCCAGGTACCCAGGATAAATGTGTTTGAACAAACTAAGACTTCCTTGTCACCCAAGAGCAACAGTAATGCAACAGGGGCCACCAGGCACTGCCAAAGCACAGCTCTGTTACAGGACAGGCTAAATAAATCACTAAGTGGATGACTTAAACTACACATTAGAAATATTTGCACTGCAAGCATTAACAAAATAATGTACATGTATTTTACCTACCTTTTTAGCTCTCAAATTGGCATCTTGTCCAAACTCTGTGTTCTTCAGGTTTTCCATTTTGCACCTTACCACGTCTGGGGGCTACTTCTCTGACTCCAGTACTTAAAAATGGCCCCTAGCAAAAGGAAAGCATGTTAAATGTACAGGTCTCGAGGAAAGGATTTAAGAGTGCTTCTTGGTGTTGCTAAAAGAATTGTTGGTTTCCTCCTGCTTTTGGTGTGGGTATTATTTAGTGGCTTTTGAATCTTTTGTATTTATGTCATTAGGAGATTGCACTTGTCGGCAACACCAAGAAACTACAGTGGAACCCCGTTAATACGGTCATCAAGGGGCCAAAAAATTTTTGCCATATTAATGGGGTGGCGGTATTAATGAGGGTTTTTTTACAAGAAAATGTATGGTGGTTTTTGCCAGGCTGCCAAAAAAAGTGGCTGTAATAACGAGGTGACTGTATTACCGAGGTTGCCGTATTGCGGGGTTTCACTGTACCAAATTCAAGAGACTTAGAAAAGTGTACAACTTACCTTTTTTCTCTGTTTTGGGCCATTTCTTTTACCCAAAATTCCCCCTCACTTCATTAACCGAAATACCCTCAATGTTTTTGTTCTCCGCATCATTATACCTCAAAGAAATAAAGACCAAAAGAAAATGTCAAATATTTATATCAAAATACTAATACATGTATTACATGTATATGTATATTATTGTAACAGCCTGGTTCTAAAAAAACTAGAGAGCTTAAAATGAGGCAGTTTTCTGGTAGTGCATTACAAAGACAAATATTTAAAAAATGAAGGTTGCTTTTATCATCGAATAAAGCCCTTATCCAAGTGCTTGACGCACAATACAGAATTAAAGTGTAACAATATAAAAACATTATATAACCGTCTAGTTGATCTCCTTGTGGCATTTTCAAAAATTGAAAGTATCATTGACACAAGCACCATTTTGTCCACTCAAAAGAAGGATAAATAGAATTGCTATTTCCCACTCAAAGATGGGCATCTTACTTGAGTCAATGAAGGTTGCTTTGTCATCGCATAAAGCTGTTACATATATCCTTGTGTTCGAAGCTTAATGTCAAATTGAAGTGTAAGGAAATTATATTCCTGAATAATATTCTTGTTTATCTCCTGGTGACTGTTGCAACATTTGAAATATCATTGACACAAGCACTACTTTGTCCACTCAAAGATGGATAAATAGAATTGCAACTCCCCACTCAAAGATGGGCGTCTTACTTGTGTCAATGAAGGTTGCTTTGTCATCAAATAAAGCCGTTACATATTTCCTTGTGTTCGAAGTTTAACGACAAATTGAAGTGTAAGGAAATTATATTCCTGAATAATATTCTTGTTTATATCTCCTGGTGACTGTTGCAACATTTGAAATATCATTGACACAAGCACTACTTTGTCCACTCAAAGATGGATAAATAGAATTGCAACTCCCCACTCAAAGATGGGCGTCTTACTTGTGTCAATGAAGGTTGCTTTGTCATCAAATAAAGCCGTTACATAGTTCCTTGTGTTCGAAGTTTAACGACAAATTGAAGTGTAAGGAAATTATATTCCTGAATAATATTCTTGTTTATCTCCTGGTGACTGTTGCAACATTTGAAATATCATTGACACAAGCACTACTTTGTCCACTCAAAGATGGAGAAATAGAATTGCAACTTCCCACTCAAAGATGGGCGTCTTACTTGTGTCAATGAAGGTTGCTTTGTCATCAAATAAAGCCGTTACATATTTCCTTGTGTTCGAAGCTTAACGACAAATTGAAGTGTAAGGAAATTATATTCCTGAATAATATTCCTGCTTATCTCTAGCCTGAGTATCAGGCGTTTCTGGGGGAAAAGGGGAAAGATGGAAGCGAAAAAGGGAGAGAACGGAAGGAGAGAAACGCCTGACACAGATGCTTTTACTGGAGCCTTCCACCCCCACACAGCATGATTCGATACCATCCAATCAAAATCACTTCCGGTCATTGGGTTGTCAACTTCATGTGTCGAAAAGCTCGCCTAAAATAAATCTCACCTTACCGTCTGGCCGAGCTCCGGTGCTTGTGTTGCTACGATTTCGCTTTTTTTCTGAATCCTCCAAAGAGGAGTTTTCGAATAAATGTAATGGAAAACTTGCCGTTTTTGAGGAGTTATAAGATGTTTTAGGAATTGTGCTAGTGTAAGATCTCCAACGCTCTGTTTGTAAATAAACGTGTGCCCGGAAAATTGTAAATTGCTTTTGTTTACAGAGTTACATCAGGCTTGTCTGGCAGCTAAAAAGCTGATGTAGATCAGGCCGAGAATCCTCCGAAGGGAAATCTATTTTTTTCTTTAGGTTTTGTTGGTTATCCCTCGTATTCTCGGGTGGTTGAAAGGAGCTGCAAGAATAAATAGGAAGGTGCGATGGTGAAACACCTCTGCCTAGAAAATTATCAAGCAGCAGCAAATGAGAGCTCTTGAAAGCTGTTACATTTCAAAAGTGAGAAAATTTTGGAAGAGGAAGCTAGCGAATTCCAATCACGTTCGCTATCGTAACCGCCACAAGCAAAGTCGACCTTTTTAAAAGCCTTAGTGCTTGGTGCTGTCGGCTATCTCAATACATGGATACCTCGCTCTATTTTCATTTACACTAACAATACCCTTTTAACGGCAGGATGTTGTAAATCAGAACTTAGATATCTGAAACACTGATATCGTCTTCTTTGTCCCGGTCTTGTGAAACCAATACTCGGACACAGTTTCGGCAGAAGCTGGTATATGAGGCTTTTCCATACTCTGAGTACATCTATATCTTTCCTTTAAACTACGAGGCCTTGAAAACACAATTCTTGCTGGGGTTTTATTTTTATTCCAGGAAAGAACTTCAGAGCGCCCTCTAGAGCCTTTTTGAATTCCTCTCTGCGTCTCTGTCCATAAAAGTACATCACATAACATGAAATCAAAACATCTATGAAAAATCTCAATGGCTTCTAGCTGCTTCTCCTTGCCGATCGCTCTGCTCGTATTTACTTGCGGTCGGTGACGTCGGGGAGTATTGTGTGCTATCCAATCGCTGCCACATCCAGATTTTGGATGTGTCACACGATTTCCTGAATGGTTTTGTGTCAGGCCTTCCTTTCTCTTCTCTCCCTGCCGCCTCCCCGATCTAAAATCTCCTTTCCCCTAGCCCCTTAGGAAGGCCTGATACTCAGGCTAGCTTATCTCCTGGTGACTGTTGCAACAGTCATCAAATAAAGCTGATATTCTTGTGTTCAAAGGTTAATGACAAATTGGAGTGTAAGGAAATGATATCCCTCTATAATCTTGTGACTTTTAGAACCTTTCTACACCATCATATTAAACTTGCCATTGCGCACATACACAAAGAGAAAAGGTTCCTTTTAACCCTACAAGTCTTGTAACAAGTGCTACATTTATTTCAATTTTGAACAATTCCTATTGGTCCCTGCAAATTGTATATGTCGTTTTAAATCTAGTAACGAAATGCACATTGTATGCAAAAAATTAATATGAACATTAAATATTATTTTCGTACAGGTTTATCCTTGTGATAAACATCTACATTCTCAGAAATTGGAGTGGAAATGTTTTGTACATTTCAGTGTCAAGGAATTGTTATAAAATATTTTTCTGTCATTGATATTTGATTCCGTACTCCGTTGCGGGATTCCGTTTCCTCATTCGAGATTCATTATTTTACGGCTGCCATCTTCGCCATTAAAATGTGCATTAGTATACAGAAAAATTCTTTTTCGGTGAAGCAGCAACTATGTCTTTATTGCAAAAGAAATCAGACAAACACGTGCTTTACAGGTAGATGTTATCAAAGAAACTACAGGCAACATACAAAGGTCAGATCTGTAGGGAGCAACTCGCTGTGGCATGAAACATGTAAGCTTATGTAAGCTCACATGCGAAACGATTTTTATGATCGACACCCAAACACAGGACGAAATTTCGAGAATCCGTAAATGGAAACTTAACGTAAACACGTAAAACCGTTGCGGAAACATGACGGCAATCACATGTTTCCGTTAGCGGATACATTACGTTTACCCGTGTTTCCGTCGCTGCGGTTCCGGCGGAATCGTACCACTTTTTTATACGTTTCCGTCAAATTTCCGTCTAAGCAAACACGTGTTTCCGCAAGCGTAAATGGTTGGCGTCCTTACGGAAACACGCGAAAACGTCCCGGAAACAAGTCAATTTCATGCTTCCGTCAACATAATCGGATGTAACTATTGCGGAAACATATTACATAGACTTAAATATGCTTCTATATATTTAAACAAGATTCAGAATGTACTTACGAAACAGCAAGGATCCACGGTTTAAAATAGGCGTTCTTTGTTCTCAATGATTGTTGAAACACTCAGTGTACATTAGAGTCGCCAAGAGTGAACACTGAACTTCTTCGTCACCGCTTCCATGGGATTTGGCGTTTCATTTAAATAGTTTTTCGAACTATTATTCCTCCCTGCAGTCTATCTCCGCAATCTATCACACTCTCCTCGCACATCTTCACAAAAAAAAAAACGGCCCTGCATGTACAAACCACCAAAATGGAAGGCGAACCGACAGCGAAGAATGTTCAAAAGGGCGCGCGATTCAAAATTCAACGTGAAAGCGAGGCACGCATGCTCATAAGACTCACGCCTCCAGAGCGAGGCAAAAATGCGTGCAAGCGTGTTAAAAAATCATTTATAATTTATTTTGCTGTTTCTAAATTGTTTCAAATTACGCTTCAATGTCTGGAGCGTTAATAATTTTAATAACACATCTTTGAATCTCTTAGAAAAGAAAGACAGAGGAAATCATCTATCACTTTTCAAGTATTTACGACTTGTAGTTTAGCGCAGGCGATTATCTCTGTTCTTTCGGACATTTTAGGTCAACGTAATGATTCCTCATCTTGCCTGAAGCGTAATCAGTACAGTTAAAACAAATTTTATTATATGAGAAACCAGGGATTGATCATGAAAACCAGCAAATTTCAGTACAAAACCGCTTGCGGAAACGCAATGGAAACGCGCTGACACGTTTAAGTCAACGGAAGCGCTGCGGAAACACGAAACAATGCCTCCATTTTCATCTTACACGTTTCCCGTCGTAACCGTCCTGTGGAAACGTGACGGAATTTTCAACCATCAGGTTTCCGCAACATTTCCGAATTGCGGAAACACCTTATTTCACCCTGTGTCAAGTCTATTTTTTCCAGTGATTCATATGAAATATGTCGTGTTTATGTCACTATGGCCCCGCACTGTCAAGATTTTGATTTCAAACTGACCTCGGACACGAAAATTGAGCCACTTTTTTAAAAATAGAGGCGGGGAAGACCTTTTCTTACCATGGTCACGCGTTGGTCACGCTCTACGTCCAATTTTTGTACTCTGATTGGTCAAAATTTGACAGGTGAGTTCATGCTAAGAATTTATGCAGCATCTTGAAAGTTGTTTACTTTGACAGCTAAAGCTGACAGAGTTTTGTGTCAACTTGTGATGTTTTTAACTGTCTTTTTCCACTGAATGTACAAAATGAAATATAGCTGCTATCAAGAGTCTTCTGTTATCCATGGCTGATTTGTTTATTGGGTTTTTGGTTGAGAAATGCGTCGCTTGTCAAAATTGGGTAATCCGATTTCGGATGGCATCGTTTTCGTCTTTCACCTTGCTCAATGCGTAGGAGGGTTTAAAAGTCTCAAGCAACTATTGCCTTCCTTGATATCTTTCAGGAACTGAATCTCGAATGGTAAGCCTGAGTAATTATTGTATTTGATTTTTGTTTTTGTTATATCTAATTTCATGAAGTCGAGCACAGTTTATGCGGCAAGTTTTTGCACGTTTGTTAAAGATTTGAGTCAATGATCTGATCTAGTATCAGGTTTGATATAAGCTTACAGAACTTTAAAAGGCCTTCAGATATATTTTCTCAGGGCATATAGAAAAAAAACGTTCCGAAGAATATTTAGTTCTAAATTTGGCTGTAGAAATAAAACTTTGAGTGATCATCTTGCTTCGAGGAGTTCATCTTTGAAAAAAAAAAAACACAAACACCGGGCGGCCGGCTGAAAGTAAAACAAAATAAACTTAAGCTTAAACTTTAAGCTTAAAGACTCAGGATTTTTAGAGACACTTTAATACTTGTCTTCGTGAATGAAAATTGTTGTCTCTGTAAATGTTTTACCGAATTATATTTCTTTTATTGATTGTTAGTAGTCTCTCTTGCAATTCTAATCGCTTGTACGTGTGGTGTTTGTTTTCATCGTTCATGAACATCGCTTGCAGGAGTACTTAGAAATGTCGCGCGTATCAAACGCTTTATAAGATTACACATCGCTCTAACTGGAACTATTAAATAACAAAAAATAATGATAATAAATTCGTTATTATGTTGAAGCGTATCTCCATTAAAGTTCATTCAAACACTCGACCACACTGACAGCTCGCACTAAAAATGAGAACCGGCTGGACGTATGGGTGATTTTGGAAATTTTTTGAACGGTTTCGCTAAAAGCCCATGATTGATCGTCCTGAACGTTTAAAAATTGTGAAATCCCGTATTCTGTCCGAGGTCTGTATGATAAAAAGTACTGTTTCACCTCAGATGTGATGTATAAAAAGTATAAAAGGTTGGTTTAAACACCCTCAGATTTGTTGGCAAGAATTTGTAAAGTAAACCTGTCAAACGCAAAAAAATGCGGCCTGATTTGTTTTCCAAGAATTTATTTTCGAGGCCTAATCTACTGTGATCAAGAGCCATTATGGCTCTTGAATGTGATAGAAGATGTTTGCTATTTTTAGGGTGTACATACATGTATATTTAGGCTATCAACTCGATGTAAGATGTTTCACTCTAAAATAACTTATCCTTTCCTTCAAAAGTCACATGAATGTGCCCTTAAGGTGGCTCGACTGGATTTTTTGGGGTTGATACCTCCCAAGTTTGAGCATTAACTGCGTCGGCATGTGTAAAGATATGGAAAAAAGGTTACCACAACTCTATTATATAAAGATGAAAATTTCTTATGATCTGGGTTTTATTGCAATCGGAGTCGCCATGGCAACGTAATGACGCCACTTCGTTTTTCTTTTATTGTTGTGTTTCTCTGTACCAGGAGTTTTTTGAAGAAATCGCTTAAGGGAGTATGTACCTGCCATAATTGCCTCCATTATGGCAAAGTTTGAAGAAATTCTATGAGAGCGTTTTCGAGATATTTCGACATGCAGTTTTAAGAATCATCAAAGCAGTGAAATAGCATGTTAGCCGCTCAATTCGCTAATATTTCAAGAAAATGATAAGCTTTGGGAACGCGGCGTCATCTCATAGTGGTTTGATTCCATTGAACACTGCATACAAAAAAAGACGGGAATTGCTCTGGGCCATCGCGAGTAACAGGAATTTTATCAACATGCATTCAGCTGCTTTTGATACAGTTTTTGGAGGTAATTTGGTCCATGCCTAAAAATTTCGTATTTTTCCAAAAACCGCTCGATAAATTTTTTTATAAATTCGACAATCCCGAGATCAATTGTCGAGAAATATTTCCTGCAAGTTTCAAGAACATTGAAAACAGGGAAGGCGTTTAAATAGGGACTCAAACATAACCAATTTTCCCCCCAGATTTTGTGTTTACAAGTGAGCGTCCTCATTATTCACTGGCATTGTTTTCAAGTTTCATATGCACGTGCACAACTAGCAAAAGATATAAATTTGCATCAAAAAGAACTCTCGATTACTTTCCGAAGAAATATCGGGTATATGCTAATAATTGGCTTGTCGTCACAGATAGCAGTGAGAGCCGAAACGGTGAACATCACGGCTCATCGTGTAGGATGCAATACTTAATTATCTTAATCGGGTTATAACATCCCAGAATCTCTCACAAAGAGTTGCTCTGATGTTATAATGTATCACTTACCTCTTTACCCGGTAATTAGCATATCCCGGAGATTTAACCGAGGGTCCTTTTTGATGCAAATTCTATCTTTTTGCTAAATGTGCACGTGTATATGAAACTTGAAAACAATGCCAGTGAATAATGAGGACGCTCGCATGTAAACACAAAATCTGGGGGGAAAATTCGCTATATTTGAGGCCCTATTTAAAAGCCTTCCCTGTTTTCAATGTTCTTAAAACTTTCAGAGAATATTTCTTGACGATTGATCTCGGAATTGTCGAATTTATAAAAAAATTTATCGAGCGGTTTTTGGAAAAATACGAAATTTGTAGGCATGGACCAAATGACCTCCAAAAACTGTATCAAAAGCATCTGAATGCAAGTTAATAAAATCCTTCTTAATCGCGATCGCCCAGAGCAATTCCCCTCTTTTTTTGTATGCAGTTTTCAATGGAATCAATCCACTATCAGATGAAGCCGCGTTCCCAAAGCTTATAATTTTCTTAAAATATCAGCGAATTGTGCGGCTAGAATGCTATTTCACTGTTTTTATGATTCTTAAAACTGCATTTCAAAATATTTCGAAAACGCTCTCATAGAATTTCTTCAAACTTTGCCACAATGGAGGCAATTATGGCAGGTACATACTCCCTTAAGCGATTTCTTCAAAAAACTCCTGGTACAGAGAAACACAACAATAAATGAAAAACGTAATGGCGTCATTACGTTGCCATGGCGACTCCGATTGTAATAAAACCCAGATCATAAGAAATTTTCATCTTTATGTAATACAGTTGTGGTAACCTTTTTTCCATATCTTTACTCATGCCGACGTAGTTAAGGCTCAAACTTGGGAGGTATCCCCCTAAAAAAATCCAGTCGAGCCACCTTAAGTTAACTGATTTGTGGATTACAAATTTATTGTTTGATATAAACTATAAATTTATTAATGGGAGCTTCGCTTTTAGCCCTGGCTAAATCTATATATTTTGTAAATGCATACCTTACATCAAAATAATGTCCAATAAATTCACTACAGAGGAGAACTTTACGAAGCTTAATAGTGGAAATTCATGTTAAAGTAGTGAAATTTTTTTTTGTACCTTGGATTGGATTGGTTTTTACTGATCACTAGAGAGTTAACAAGTACTTCTTATTTAAAATATTAACGTAAAAAATGGATACTTACTGATTTGAATGTAACAAGCCTGAAATAAACAACACTTTTCTTAGGAAGTTACCTTCTTCAAACAATTTTAACAAATGCAGTGTTTCGCCAATGTTGCAAAAAGTTAAGTACCGTCCCACTCCGGCCCCGCAGCATCCAATGCTGGTGTTTCTGTCATAGTTCTCTCACAAGAAGGTTAAAGACGTGACATTGTCTTACAATGATCCTTTTTGGGTCTTCCGGTTCTTTTGGAAGTAAAGAGCCCTAAATTCGATTTTGAGACGAAATAAAGGTGATATGATGTCGGTGAGTTGGGTTAGGTTATTATCGTCTCAAAAGGGCCATTTGGTTCACGATGAGAACATTAGTGTATGTAGACAAATATCATTAATGTTAAAGTACATACGCGTCCTTTTTTCTACACCACTAAACTGGTTTGCGCTCTGATCTATTGACGAGCTTAACTTTGTAGTCAACCATCATTTTTCAGTTCTGACATATTTAATCAGACCCTAGATCTGAGCAAAAAGTTAAAAAAACAACAACAACAATATTTTTAGTTGACTGTCGAGATTTTGGCAAACTCTAAGGTTAACTAGCACTATTTTTGGGACCCAAACCATGCACCTCGCCCAACAAAAATTAAAGTTATAGTTGATTTAAAAGGTTAGAGTTATAAGAGACCAATAAACATGGACGGCTTAAAAGAAGTGTAGATTTACTGAAATCAACCACATTAAAAGCTTTGGTTCAAAATCATCGAAAGAAGATACGTCATTAGGGGGCTCAATATGTTACCGTGAATATAGTCTTGACTACAATCTCGTACCTGAACAAAGGCGCATTTTCCAAAGTACAACAATGAGAATAAAGAGTATGATCGACAATAGAAGAATTACACTGATGTAGGCACCGTGAAGCACTCCTGTGTTATTACTCTCAGAACCTGGAATTTTTAAGAATGTAAAACATGAGTTTAAGAAAGAAACAAAACTGCATTTTAATTTAAAGTTGAAATGGTTGCAGAGCATGATTTTGTGAAATTGATTGCTTGCGCTGAATGGTAATTTGAATCCTGGTAATGGTAATTTGAATATTAACATGGCTTACCCGCTTGATTTTTTGGCGGTTTTGTCGAACCTGAAAACGAAAAAAAAACCAATAGAAGTTTACGCTAAATACGAAAGGTTTCTCTTGCTACTGTAATTTATCATACCCTACAGTTCCTTGCTGAACTAAAGAAAACAGCACAAACTTTGCCTAATAAGACCATTCGATATACTTTCTTGGTAAAGAAAACAAAAATAATGGCTTAACGAACAAGGTTGTTGAGCTCGACGTCTGTCGTTTCAAAAGCGGGGAAACGTTGCCGGCGCAACCGAGGAAACCTTTCAGTAGTCGTTGTGAATTTATTCTAAATTATTTATACACCTACCGTCTAGCACTTTTATCCGCTTGATGCCCTTTTCCTTTGAACTCTCTCCATACTTGTTTGTCGCGGTTACTACAAATTCATATTCCTTCCCCTTCTCGATTTCAACGGCATAAGAACGGTTATAGACATCGAATATGGTTGCAATTTTCTTCCACTCATCACCATTGACGAACCTTCGGTAGACGGAGTACTCTATTATTACCGCCCCATTGTTATCTGGTTCTTTCCATTTTAGAATTACTCCATCAGTTACTTCGACAGCATCAGGAACATCTGCGTAGAAAGGAAGGAAAGCTGGGCGTTGAATTTATAAATATCAATTGAAAATAAGCAAATACGTATATGAAAAAACAATTTCATATTCTTCAGTTCCACTGGTACTCTTTCAGCCATAAAAGAATCATTATGGCCTACTGTCAAAAGGAATTTTGTTAATCGTTAGGGAAACTCTGTATTATTATATTTAGAATCTCATTCAAAGAAAAACGCAAACGGCGATTTCAGGTTGCCATTTGTGTTCGGGTTAATGTAATAGAGATTAAATTGCAATGCAAGTAAATAAAAGCAATAAATAAAGATCACGTGTTATAAATTGACGTTGGACGTTTGCCGTTTGTCATAAACGTGATTCTAAATTTCTCTAATCTTTTACAAACTATTAGGCCAAAGCCAAACGTCGAACTTTTCATGAGACGAACCGAATGGCAATTTGGGTCGATCTAAATTTAGTTAACTTAAGTTAGTCTGTTGGGTCAGTTGATGAACTAAAGAAGCAGCGAGCCAATCAGACATCATCACCTGAAGTAGACGGATAGAACGATTTGGTTGATCAAAACTTATTGCGACGAAATTAACTGACACAGATATCAAACTTTTTCATGAACTTAATCGGCCCAGTTTGGTTCCTCTAATGAAAATGCGATGTTTCGCCTTAACCATACCAAACTATTTAAGGAAACAATATTTTTGAAGAATTCCTTATTAATAAATTATGGAATAACTATCCCAAGAGCTTCGGACCTGACAAGTGCATTCAAAAATCACTGGACGAAAAAATGGATTTACTAGGGTAGCCAAATTACAGCAAATGTGTAGCAAATACCATATTTGCACAATTTTGCGCAAGAGCAAAGACTGATATTGCACTAGATTTGCTATCCGTAGCAATGACGGTAAATGCCACATTAGCACAACATTTACGTCTTGGTGCAAAGATAATGGGCAGCCATGGATTTGAGGGTCATTTGCAGATCGTTCAAATTTGTAGGCAAATATGTTTCTTTGAACTATATTTGCACATTACGCAAATGATAGCGCAAATCTGCTGTTTTGCACAGCTTTTGCTTTAGATGTAAAAGCATGTAAACCTGTTATTTTCAGAGCGTTTACGCAGCTTTGCAAATGTGAGCGAAGTATCTAATTTGAACAATGTTTGCTTGGGTTATCATGGGTGATCAAATTTTCATAACTGAACCAGATTGCTTTGCATAGCAAATGTAACCAAACTCTTTGTATTAAACATGTTTGCTCGCGAAGCAAATGTTAGCAAAACTAAAATTTGAACAAATTTTCTAGGGTCTGCAAATTTGATCAAACACAGAATTTTGCTTGTAGCAGCAAATGTGGTCAAAAGTCAAGTTTTGAACAAAGTTGCGTAAGCAGCAAATCTGATCAAACTGCTATTGTACAATTTTTCGCTCAGGTAGCAAATGTAATCAAATTCTGACTTTAATTTGGTTAGCAAATGTCATCAAACCCATAAAATTGAGCGTGTTTTCACAAGTTGCAAATGTAAATTCCAAGGTTTCAACGAGTTTGCTTGGATTGTAGCAAATGCGATAAAATTTTTAAATTATTTTTAATTATAACATGGCTCACTTCAGGTTCTTAACAAGTGACCATAATTAATCTTGAAGTTTATAGCTTCAAACATTAAAGTTAATGAAAGAAATTCTAGCAGTGACCTCCCATTAATGTTCAAATGATTTATTTCATAAACCAAAGTGGCTTACACATTATTACAGACTTTACAAACTACAGTATACAGTTGTACATACAGCTCTTCATATTAATTCCCAATTTTACAGTTCGTTGATGTTTACTTGTCTCCACTATATGCTCTATCAGATCATTACTAACTATTAATATTATAAGAAAAGTGTTCTTCATCTAAATGTGTAAGATATTCTACATACAGCCGTAGGTGTTTCAGAGTTGCCTCAAACTTATTTCAGTTGTTTCGGTTTTTGCAACTCAGAAACAGGTTAAAAATCATTTTACCCTTGGACCAATATTTACTTATGACAAGACTATTTCTTACTTAAACTTTTGTATCTAAGGACAAAATCCTGTTCCAACTAAATGGAACCCTCAAGACACCTATTTTAATAAATAATTAGTATTTTTGTATTTATTGCTATTTACAGATTAAACAAAATTTGATTCTGGTGGCATTTTTTTCTTTAGGCTCTATTAGAATGAAAGGCCTAATTCTTGCTACCAATTTCCAATTTTTGCTGGTATAACAACTCGGTTATAGCATTTAGCAAACTAAGAAATAGTTTAGGTACATCTAGTTATTCAAATTCAGATCAGACTTCTTTAACTTCATTTTTGTTGCCAATGGCTCCTGTATAGTATTGGATAAGCTATTAGAGGAAGTACCAGCCAGAGCCTCTAGAACTTGCCCTGTTCTAAGAAAATTGAGGGTCATTAAAGTAATGACCAGCTGTAAGTATTCCACAGCATGTCAACATTACCATTGTCACTGTAGTTGGTCCCAATGAAAGAAGCTAATAATTATTTTAAATTCAGTATACATGTACATGTAGTACAAAAGGTTGATCTGGCTAGCCTGCAAAATAACTGCACTGCTGTCTCTCATTACTCTTTTTCTTGAGTCATGTTGCAATCGTTTGCAAAATTCCATACTAAATCATGACAAAAAGCAGGGTGTACCTAAATTTGTTTTGTTTTTTGTTCAAGCAGGTCAGTTGCAATTGCTGTAATCGGTACACATGTACTGTGAAGTGGTGCCAGCAGAACTCAAATGCCTGCAGTTAAGCAAATAGATTTAAAAGAAACATTTGTACATTAATTGGCCTTTTTAACCTGCTGACTGGTACATTACTTGCAAACAAAGGATTCTAATGAAAAATTTATCACATCAACCAATTTGATCTACCTGCCACCACAATTCTCAGGACAAATCAACACCATTAGGATTTGTACTGTTTACACAGATTTATCTTTTTCTAAAAAACAGTGTCATAAACAGAGAGTGATTAAAGGATTACTGTATTTGTAGAGCTACATGTACATGTACCTGTAAGTATGACCAGTCATAAATAATCTGGAATTTCTTTAAGAGCATTGGATTAACTTATATTTCCTTATCACAAAGCAAATTCAGGAGCATTATCTGGTGCCTCCTGCTCTGAGGAGAAGCCATTCCTCCTTTCTATTGTCATTGAGTAATGACGGGCTTACATGTGACTGTTTCAATTTTGCTTTACTGTTCAGCTGGGCAAAGAGGTTTTTACAGGCTAAGTTGTTGGCTCCTCCATGCTAGAGGCCTCCTGCAAAGCACTTTTCTCGGATTTGTCATCTCCTTGGTCTGTATTGCCTTGCTCTGAAGACATGTACTCCACATTTATACAAGCTTTGAACTTACAACAATCCTTCTTCGAAATAGAGATTGACTGGAAAAGGGTTGTCTCTTTAGCTTTTTCTGCAACAAACAGAAATTATACATAATTGAGACCATTAATATTGAAACTAAAGCTGTAGATGGTTGTCACGAAAAATACTATTGTCCTTTTCTGTCTAAATATTCTAGCCTATTGTAGCACATAGGTTGCTATTAGATATATTACATGTATTATTACTGGCTGCAGTCACACTAGGTGATAAAGATTTACTTATTTCCTGAGTTAACTGATATAAAAATTAACTAGTTTAAACAAATTGCTGGCTCGTAACTTTCATGTCTCAAATCTAGCCCCAAGCGGTCATGATAATCCTGATTACACTGAGCCTGTTAAAACTAAGACCTTCTTTGAGCAAAAACAAAAAGGAAAAAATGAAAGCGAGAAACCCTTTTGTAACAAGACAATTGACTCCAGGTAAATCATTGTATTAATTTTATAGTGAGTGTCCCACCACACCACTACCATAACAACATTATTGACATAACTTCATGGACCTGCTTCTTCTGCAATATTGCCATCACTTACAGTGTATCTTGGGAACAAAAGTTTAATTATACTATAATTGCCTGATATGAGGGAATCCAAGACAGTTTTAGATTGTGGATTCCACACTGCGGATTCCGGAACCTTTTTCAGTGGATTACTTGGTTTCTGGATTCCAATTGTTTGACCTGTATATCAGGTTTCAAAGCTCAGAATTTAGGATTCCACAACAAAAATTGCCCGAATTCTGGATTCCATAAGCAAAAACTTCCCGGATTCCAGAATCCCTTACATCAGGGGTGATCATAAAAAAAAAAATCAGTGAAAGCATGGTACCATGATCTAAATTCTAGCTACTCTATGTTTTCAGCACCATGGCAGTCACTGCCTTTACTCCCCTTTTAAATTTTGGAAAAGCCTTCGGAGAAAGTAGGCACAAGAGGATAAGGTTATTTTTGGCCTTAGACGGGAATTAACACTTGCTTCAATTCTTATTAAATTTCCAAGACCATTTATCTGAAGAGAACAACCAAATAAAAGATTACAGTATTTTTTAAAACAACATGACAAATAAAGTTTCAGGAATAGGGGTGAGTCCTTGTTGATTACTAAATATTGGGAATGCAAATGTAGGTATTATCAAATAGCATCATTAGTGGCTTAACAGTAACAATGAACTTTCTTATACTTACTGAGCATTTCTTTTACTCCCGATTAGTTGCTCCCACAGCATTTGTTTGTCCTTGCATTTCTCCTGCCTCTTGTTAGTTTTACAATGTCTGCTAACAGCAACGATTCACCGAAGTCTATGTACTAAGTACTAACGGTTGCTTTTCTTGGATCCACTCGTTACTACTTGCTCGTCGCCGATGGAGCTATCTAGATGTCTTTCATGGTGGATAAGTGCAATTTCCTTTTCGTCGAACGGTCTATAAGTATGCAGTTCCCTCGAGTTAGAGCGATTATTTTTATAAGTTCTTGGAGGACACATTCATTCGATAAATTCGAACAAATAAGACTGGCCGATTCCTCCATACTCGACCGTCATACCCACAAACAAGGAAAATTCGAGAACTCTTGATAA